TGTTCGGTAAAATCGCCCTGCGCCGCCAACGGAGGGCCTTCGCCACGTCGGAGCCAGCCTCAAAGGGGATGGAGCGATAGAACCACTTCGCCATCCAATGGCGATCCCACTTCGACATGGCGGCGTTCACCGGCCATAGATCGGAGCGCTCGGGGCGAACATTAAAGTTCATGCTTCCGAACGCTGTTTTCTTTGTCCCGGCCGGGGTGACCACCGTCTTCGAGTTCACGGTGTCATGGAACACGGTGCTGAAAAGCTCGGCGCTCGGTTCGAACCCGGCGGTCCGGCACGCCCAGTCGAAGATGGCGACTCGGACAAGTGCCGACGGGCTCAGCTGGGGAAGCTCCACCTGGAAAAGGCGAAGGATCTCCAGCAACAAAACGTTGCACGGGAACCAAAGCCCCGCCTAATAAAACATGACGATAACCACCGTCCGGTTATCTCCGGGTTTCGGCACCATAGCCTTTCCCGGGGCGAAGGCCTGCCCCTCCACCAGCAGGCCGGTGCTGACAAGCTTCGCCAGCTAATCGTCATCCATGAGCGAAGCTCCTAGAAAGGCAATGGTGTCGTCGTCGATCCGGCTGAGATCAGGGCCCGTCGCGGAAGCGGGGTTCGGCTTGCGAGGAGCCATGGTGAAAGGTGTCAGCGGTGGCAAAAAGGGAAAACGAGCGAAAGATCTAGAAAATCAAGGGGCGCCGTGAAAGGAAAGAACGGAGAAAGAGATAGCGCTCGCGGTGAAAATGACGAGAGTGCGGCGGTGAAAAAGGAAAAGGGGGGCAATATCTCACCCTTGCCCGGTGAAAAAGGAAAGAGAGAGCGCTCGGCCGAAGCTCCTATCTCACCCTTGCCCGTGAGGGGCTTGTTGGCAGTATGTCATGATACCCTTCGACCAGACCTGCCGAAACCATGCAACCAGTGGGGTGCTCAAGCCCAAGACATCGTCCGTCGGGGCGAAGTGCCCATGGCGAAGACTATCAAGCAAAGACGGCGAAGCGCGAAGGATCGCGCTGGTATCCCACAAGGTTGGAGGCATCTTGGGCGAAGACTGTATGGCGAAGGCGGATGGCTTCGCCATAACAAGTTCAACTTCAAGGAGGCCCAAGAGGCCATCTCAGCCGATCAAGCCCGGGGGCCACTGGACCAGCGTTCGCCAGTCGGCCCACTAGAGGCCCATGTACCTCAATTACACTATATACCCATATAAATATCCCTTTCATAAGGGCAACCATGTAAATTCCCTTATAAAACCTAAACCCTAATAGGGGAACCTGTAATAGGGTTATAAATAGACCCCAGGGCCATGTAAGAGGGGGATCCGAAGAAAAATTCTCAATTTAATATACTTTACCGTTTTCTAACCACTGTTGAGTAACCACGCCTTTTGACGTAAGCGATTATCATTTCGACAACAATACTAATTAATAAATTTTAAATAACGTGCTATGGTTACATAATGAGCTTTTAAGATTGTACTAGTGGCTAATGGTATATTATATTTGCATGTTAGATTTTAGAAATTAGTGGGTATCAAATAGAAAGCGAAAGATTTGATGAGAACGTTACCAGTGACCGTTGAGTAGGCCATGGTATAAAAGCCATGCATATTTACATACTATCAATTATATATTATTACTACCTCCATCTCAAAATATAACAACTTTAATTTGGCTATGAATTTAGCTAAAAATGCTTATATTTTAAAACGGAGGGAGTAGCTTCTCGCCTAAATATATGACGTGAGCATGGAGGGAGTATATTATTACTGAATTAATAATGCTTGTTAGACTGCCATCACACTGGGATATCCATTAGCATCCATCGATCGAGAACCAGTGGAACAGCACCACACATGCAAGCATGGACCTGTGCATATGTAGCAATCGTCCATTTTATGTATATGTACTGTTTGGCAGTTTGGCACCAAAGACATTGACAGCCGCACCGCGGCCGGCTAGCAATAACTAGAGAGGGAGAGACAAAGCCGGCAGTACTAATGTTTACTACCAAATCTACTTTAGTTTACTCTAGCTAGCTAAGTTAGCTAATGACACTACTAATGTTAACCTACATATAATTGGCCTCCACGAATCGATGTACTGCAAGACTATCAGTAGGGTTAGTTACGATCACCGACAAATTAAGCTAACAACAATGAACGACAGCGGATGATGGTTACCGAACCTCGATCTCCTTTATTTCGATGTAGTGTTTGGCACTTTTTTATATACCCCAACGAACAATAATATGCATGCTTGTGCACACCAAATCGGAGAACATAAAGGTTGGCGCAAGGGGTCCACGCTAGAAAAATAAATTAATATCATCCGATTTTACTGTTTGTTTGTTAATTACCATGCGATGCCTTGGCTGGTTAGCAAGGCTACTCATCAATTGCCTCTGCAGTACATGTGTAGGCCCCACAAGAAACCATATGGGAGAAAGCCGGCAGGTGATCAACGTGAACGCGATTTTTTTTTTTTTGCCATAGTAGCATGTCCAACAGATACCAAAAATCTATCTTTTCTAATATGTTTTTAGGTGTAATTATATTTTTATCTCTAACATATATCTTAAATTAACTTCTAATAATAAAAAGCGACCCACCTCTAACTACCAATAGATATAGAAACAAAAATCGCTCCACCCATCCCCTCCACAAACACGATCTCTCTCCACGTATTGACCTCTCCTTTTGTCGTGTATAAACTGAGAGCGAGAGTGTCTCTCAACTTATGGAGAGTGAGAAGGAGGATAATAGGATTTTAATTTTTGGATACATCTCTAGGGGAATTGTTGGAGCAATTTTTTTTAGAAAAGAAATCTCAATTTTAGAATTGGGTTTCATTTAGGGGCCGGTAATGTTGGTCATAGTCAATTGGGTTAATAGCTAGATCCATTTCAGGAGGCCAAATTATCTGAAATAGCTGTATTGTTTGTTTCAGTATAGTTGGCTAATTTGAGGGCTAGTTAAATATATACGTGCAGTGATATATCGGTCATGTGTGATATATAATTACTCGATCATGGATGATAGTGGAGCTATCATACCCATAATATTTTTTAATCATAGTAAATCCAGATGTTCTGATAGCTAGCGTCCAGGTTTGGACACCATGCATTGCGAACAGAGTCCACAGGATTCACAATAACGTCCAATATTGGTGTGCGCCCAACAATCCAACGTACAGCCGTGGGGCCCGGATGTGGTCGATCGACCGCCAGCTCGCAGATGACGCGAACTTCTCCCGCTGACAGTTGGTTGAGGTGCCAATATTTTCCTAGTCGTCGCAGGCCAAACCGCCGCCGCTGTGTGCCTTAGTATATACCCGAGTCGCCAATTTCGCAACAAGGGAGTGAAACTGTGCAATTAAGATTGGTGAGGCTGAGGCCACCGCATGCATGCAGTCCGCCATAAAGTCATAGACGTCACTGTTGCCCATCCAACAGAACTTAGTTTACACCTCATGCGTCCTGTCGAGGGGGGACGAGTGGCTGCTCGACAATATCCCAAGGGTGGAATATAATGCGGCGTGTGAGGACATCACTGTCGCCGGCTCAGGATGTCCCGAGCTAGGGTTTCGCCTGCAAACCTCCACACCCATCCCTCGCATCGCCACCTTAGAGCTCCACGGCTTGCTCAACCTCTGCCTACTCGAACCTCTGCCGCACTAGCGCCCCACCACCATCCAGCCCAGACTCGATCCCTCTTATGGCCACGCCGCCTCCCGCTCGCTGATGGTGTAGCTGGCCCTTACCATCTGCCTCTCCTGCTGTCGACGCAACGTGACGAGGCCGCTTGCTGCGCCCAGCTATGCCGACCTCTGATTGTCGTAGACACGCCGGCACCAAGTGCATCGGCCCCCCTATCATCGCCCATGCCATCATCCTCGTCTTCCGCCAACCGCATCGTGGATTGCTCTCGTGCTTTCTGCCACACTGTGCCTTCTCCCGCTACTACGGCATGCGCGCCTCTCCTTCTCCGCCACAGTCCGCACTGGCCCACCATCCGTGGCTGCGCCACCCCGTGCCTCCTTCGCATGAGCGCACTTCTCCTAGGTTGCCCTATAGGAGACTCCTCCGCCTTCTGCACTGGTCATCGGCTCCTCCCGATCTGGCTGCGGGGAGGCCGAATCCGCCTCTAGCGGCACCAGATCCATCATGCCCTCGTCCTCCTGCCAGATCTGGCTCCGTTGGTGTCATCCCCTCCTGATTTGGTGCTAGGGAGGTGGGCTTGATCCGCCTTCGGCAGCGGTGGAACTTGCCACCGATGTTCCTCTGCCCCTCTGCGCAGTTCCCATTGACTCCCCAACCATCGTGTTTTTGAGCGAAGTGAGAGGCCCAGTTTTGCCGGTGGCTGCTCGGGCGGTGGTGAGAGGCGGAGGAGAGGAGGGGGGTGATGTCGGGCCCTGTGACATCGTGGCCCGTGTCTCCTTGGAGCATAGCAACGTGGGAGCTGTTGTCGTATATGCGGGAAGAGAAATGGGAGGGACAGCAAGTTAATTTCGAGTGGTCGAGTTTATAGATGTATACTACTACCTCCATATTTTAATGCATGACGCCGTTAACTTTTTGTCCAACGTTTGACCATTTGTCTTATTCAAAAAGTTTACGTAATTATCATTTATTTTATCGTGACTTTATTCATCATCAAATGTTCTTTAAGCATGACATAAATATTTTCATATTTTCACAAAAAATTTGAATAAAATAATTGATCAAACGTTGGTAAAAAAGCTAACGGCGCCATACACTAAAATGGAGGGAGTATATTATACTGCATGAGTTTTAGTCATGCATTTTCTGTTGGCGCAAGCAATTATATGATTTTGACAATAAACTTAAGCAGGGTGTATTATGCAAGTACGTAGCTAGGCCTAGGAGCACATGCAATTAGCGGTCCCGGCCTGCCTCGCTACGATCTACCTAGCTAGTTCAGCTCCTGCCTCCTGGCCGTGGCACGGCCAATAAATAGGGGATCCATGCATGTCCATCTCGAACTCGTCTCGCTCAGCTCGCCCAGAAGAATGGCTCCAAACGCCATGCGCAAGGTCAAGAAAGTTTTACTGGTAGTTGGCATGATTGCCTCTACCATACTCGGTGAGTATCCTCATCAGGCGGCCGCCGCCCGATTTTCTGCACGCCGTCCTCCACCAGGACCAGGACGTCTACCACCACCAGTCCCTGGTGGCCCTAGAGTCGGAGGAAAACCAAGACCGGAGTTCGATTTGCCCCCGGTGTGTTCCGTTGGATTTCCGTGCTCTGCCTCTGAGCCGGAGTCGAACCACACCACATTCTCCTGCGAGCTGGAGAACCGGATGGGGGACACCATCTGGTTCCAATGTGATGGAGATTTATTCTACTTCTCGGTGGGTAGTGGCCAGAGCATCGGCCGCCTCTACAACGACGTCCAAGACCTGGGGCCACGTAACAAGGTGTCCTGCGCCTGGGCCTTCCAGGAAAACTACAAGAGCAGCGTCCCGGCATGGGACGGCAACTGGCCGGAGGCTTCCTCCTGCCGGGTCGACGACGCCAGCGGCGCAGACGGCCAGTGCCGTCTTCTCTTCGAGAACCGCGAGGTTGCTCTGCTCACTGCCACCGGCGGCCGCCGCGTTCTCGGGGGCTTGCTGCTGAAGAACTGCACTACCCCAACCCCATGGTACGCGTGGCTGTTCCCCTGGACCGATCCCTGCACCACGTACCTCGACAACACCACCCGCCCGTACGTCGGCAACATACAGCCCTCGTGGGCGGCAGCCGTCTTCAACATGGATAACTGATCGACGCGACACCGGTACCTCCCACCCACTTCGCGCAGGCTGGTGACAAATAATCTCTCTCTCTCTCCCTCTCTCTCTCTCTCTCTCTCTCTGGTTATATATATATATATATCATCATGGACATGGAATGATGAGTGCTGTGCTACAAACTCTACATACATATAGCTGCTCATCATCTCAACCCCTCATCATTCCGTATATATGTGTGTAATGAATAAAACGACGATCGACTCTTGTGGTTCAATTCGATCGTCTCAGTGCCTTAACTATAATCTCTCTCTCTTTCTCTCTCCCTCTGTATGTAGCCTTAATTTGGTTTGTTCATCATGTCTCTTAATTTGCATGCTGTCGCCATGTTAGGCTCTCAACGACTTGCCAGAATTTTATGACTTACTCCACCTCACGGCTTTCCGTATAACTAACATACTACATCTAGATTGTGAGAACATAATATGGTTGAATACGGTTTCAAAAGATGAGTAACGACGAACAGCGTACTCCTGCAAGCAACGTGAAGCTAGCTAAACTAATAGGAGAATTACATCGTATAAGTATTAAAATATTTACAGTTGTAATCAGTTTTAAAATTGTAGCGTAATTTTTCCTGTACGCTAGCTACTAGCATCGAAGGTCCTCTGTAATATATATAAATTTAATCTCTCTAGCTCCTATGTTTTTTCATTACGGAAGAAGCCATCATCAGATGATTAGTAACCATGCATGCTTCAGGTGATTAATACATACCCTGAACCGTTACACCTCATTGGAATAACGAGCGACGATCAAATTATCTTTCACAATTTTACAATGATGACCGATTGAAAAGGGGCCGTTGATATATCACAACTGAAACAACTACGATGCCTAAGCTGCTGCTCAGCCTGCTGAAAGCTTGCCGAACTGCCAAATAAGATGGGTTATGGGATTCGGTGCTAATTTTTGCCATGTACTGCAGAGCGAGTTCTGAAAACTTCTGATGCAGCGCAGCAGCAGATTTCAGCTTGGGGGCTCCTTTTTTGCTGTGATCATTTTAGCTCCACTGGTTCCATTTTGAGAAAAAAAAAATCTTCAGTTTCCGGTAGCAAGAATGATGTTTTTGGCAATTCCTTATATACCCCTGAAAGTTTGCTCCATCCCTTCCATGCCCTTGAATTTTTCACATCCCTTGTATACTCCTGATATTTCGTCTTGATCCCGTTTATACCCATACCATTAGTTGACCATCATCTCTTTTCCAAAATAGCCATGTTGCCCTTTTTATAGTCATGTGATCACTTCAAAAGGCTAAATAAAGCTTAGTATGAACTTTTTAAAATTTGTATAGAAAACCAAAAGATAGTTGAGCCTAAATTTCAAAACCAATATTTATTTTTTGAAATATTTTTAATAGATTTTCAAACAAGCTTTAACAAAATCAAAATTAATGAAACTCATATAAAAGTTTCACCGAACATTTAGAAATTAAAACTATACTTAACTTGAATTTAAATATAAATAAGAATTTTTTATTAAATTTGATCTAAATTATTAAAAATTTAAATTTAACTTTTCAAACTTTGAGGTCAAATAAACACATTCTTTTTGTTGTTTACTAATAAAATATTTTCAACTCAAAAATTATGTTGGTGAAAAAGCTAGCGCATAGGTACTCTAAGTAGGGGCAATATAGTCATTTTGAAAACAATTTAACGGTCAACTGATGATCAACTAACGGTATGGGCATGGAGGGGATCAGAATGAAAACTCGGATCCATATAAGAGATACGTCAAAACTCAAGGGCACATAAGGGATGGAGCGAAATTTCAGGGGCATGCAAGGAATTTTCTCATGTAAAAATGTAAAATGTTATCTAAACGGTTGGAATATCCTTTGGTAGATTTGTATTCTCTCAATTCAACAAGTATAAGATTATCATATCACTGGCTTTTGCAGATGTCATTCAGAGAGAATTAAATTTCAAATTATCTGTTCATTCAATTTTTTTTCAAAAATATTTAGGATGCAAAACTTTTAAAAAATATACCGCTGGACGATATCACACGATGAAAGTGCGAGACCGCGCGGTCTTGCAGAAAGGAAGAGCAAGACCGACCGGTGTCGCGGAAACAGACAGCGACACCGTCGCAACGCTCCATTTGATTAGTGACGTAATTAACTATAATGATTAGTGATTAATTAATAATTAACTAATCGCTAATCGTGATAATTAATCACTAATTAATCATTTTGAAATCCGGTATTGCTGATTGGTTCAGCGAGACAGTTTGGTCTCGCTCTTCCATTCCGCGAGACCGTGCGGTCTCGCACTTTCCCCGCACGACGCCGCCCGCGACGCACGCAGCGGTTGTGCGAGATCGATGATATATTTCTGTAAAAATATTTAAATCACAAATATTTTTGTAAAAAAATTGAATGAAGTGTATATTTTCAAATTCAATTCCATTTAGAGATGTATCATCATGCCTGAATGACAGATGTTATGTCAGTGGCAAACAATCATTTAGATATATGTATGCCTACGGTCCCGTTCTTCTCTCACTAGTACAGATCCTATCATCTGTAACGGGCTCAATTATGCTTAGACTACTTGGGCCGTCAGAACGAAGTCATCTCAATCGGGCCTAAATTTGCACCGCTGTAGATGTACTCACTTTAGGCCCAAGTACATATAGCCCGTCACCGATGACACTCATCTGTGACGAGCAAAGATTTAGGCCCGATTGAGATGACCTCGCATATCTCAATCGGGCCCAGACACCGAGCCCGTCAGAGATGAGGGTCATCGGTGACGGACTCCAAATATGGCCCGATTGAGATGACTTTAAAGCCCGTCACCGATGACTCATATCGGAATCAGGCTTTTGTTGATGCCTGTTAGAGATAACTTTTATTTAGGTTATTTTTCTATATAACTTTTTTTTAATAGTTTGAGTTTGAATTTGAAACTATGACAACTTTAAACAACATTTTTAAATACTAAATGATTTCAAATAAAAAAAATTATCAACAACAAAGTTGTATAACATACCAATATTTACAACTTTTATTTTTATTTTGGTTATTTTTTCTATATAACATTTTTTCGAACAGTTTGACTTTGAATTTGAAAATATGACAACTTCAAAACAACATTTTCAAATACTAAATGATTTGAACTAAAAAAGTCATCAACAAAAAAGTTGTATAACTCAACAAGATCTATAACTTTTATTTTGGTCATTTTTCTATATAACATTTTTTTGAACAGTTTGAATTTGAATTTGAAAATATGACAACTTCAAACAACATTTTCAAATACTAAATGATTTCAACTGAAAAAGTCATCAACTACAAAGTTGTATAACTCATTAATATCTATAACTTTAATTTTGTTGATTTTTCTATACAACATTTTTTTAAATAGTTTGAATTTGAATTTGAATTTGAAAATATGACAACTTCAAACAATATTTTCAAATACTAAATGATTTCAACTGAAAAAGTCATCAACAACAAAGTTGTAAAACTCATCAAGATCTACAACTTTTATTTTGGTCATTTCTTCATCCGACAAAGTGTTAGTAACATTGTTCACAAAAATTACAAATCTGTGTTATAGTTTATAAATCTAGATGAGAGATGTGAATTTTGTGAACAATATTACTATTACTTTGTCGGATAAAGAAATGACCAAAATAAAATTTATAGATCTTAATGAGCTATACAACTTTGTTGTTGATGACTTTTTCAGTTGAAATCATTTAGTATTTGAAAATGTTGTTTGAAGTAATCATATTTTCAAATTCAAATTGTTTAAAAAAAATGTTGTATAGAAAAATGAACAAAATAAAAGTTATAGATATTGATGAGTTATACAACTTTGTTGTTGATGACTTTTTCAATTGAAATCATTTAGTATTTGAAAATGTTGTTTGAAGTAATCATATTTTCAAATTCAAATTCAAACTGTTTAAAAAAATGTTGTATAGAAAAATGAACAAAATAAAAGATATAGATATTAATGAGTTATACAACTTTGTTGTTGATGACTTTTTCAGTTGAAATCATTTAGTATTTGAAAATTTTGTTTGAAATTGTCATACTTTTAAATTCAAATTCAAACTGTTCAAAAAAATGTTATATAGAAAAAAGATCAAAGTAAAAGTTATAGATCTTGATGAGTTATACAACTTTGTTGTTGACAATTTTTCTGTTTGAAATCATTTACTACCTGAAAAAATATTTGAGTTTCTTATATTTTAAAATACAAATTTTATATAGTTCAATCAAACCCGGATGGAGAAATGACCAAAATAAAAGTGGTTGATCTCAATGAGTTCTACAACTTTGTTTTTGATAGCTTTTTCAATATGAGTTCATTTAGTATCATAAAATTCAATTCGAAATTTATTTTTTCCTAGAAGTCTGATTTGCCTTCTACTCATGATAATACTTGCTAAATATATATTTGATCCAATTAACTCGGATTTGCTGGTGAAATATGTGATCAAAATGGAAGTAATGTGAATGTGGTTGTGTTATGTGAATGAATGTATATGAATAGGGGATGCTAGGGTGTGACATCTTGGACAAGGCTTAATAGGATTAATAGAATGCTCATACCAACAAATTACAATTTCTTTCTCCGAAGCCAATCTTCAAAGAACTATGACGTTAAGCGTGCTTGGCCTAGAGCAATTTCGGCATGGGTGACCGACCGGGAAGGCACATGACGGGAAGGCACATGACTAGAGCAATTTTGGAATGGGTGACCGGCCGAGAAGGCACATAAGTGAGGGCGGTCACCGGGAAGGCACATGACTAGAGCAATTTCGGAATGGGTGACCGGCCGAGAAGGCACATAAGTGAGGGCAAAAGCCTGAGGCTTACCAAAAATTTAGAAAATTTATTTATTTGTGGATTATACTCATCTGTGACTAAGCCCGTTAGAGATGAGAGTCATCCGTGACGGGCTATAATCTAGGCCCATTAGAGATGAGAGTCATCCATTAGTGATATTTTCTCACATCACTAACCTTTGCTTAGTGACGGCGGCCTGCCCGAAAGAGATAATGCATTAAGCCCGTTAGAGATAACCAATCCCGTTCTAGTGTCTCCAACATTTCAAACTGCTAAACGATGCGTTTTGTGCGAAAACTTTCTATATGAAAGTTGCTCTAAAATACCATATTAATCTATTTTTCAAGTTTATAATAATTAAAACTTAATCAATCATACATTAATACCATCTCGTTTTACGTAAAAAAACTTAATCTTCATCTTCATCTTCATTTTCAGGAGAAAAGAACACCGAGTAGTATCTTTTGTAGATGCATCATTAGTTTGAAAAAAGAAGCTGCGAATGATATAACTTGTTGAATGGAGATATCTCAGATATGCATATCATTTAGTAAATGTCATTATGGACTATGTGAATGAAGACACATTTTTTTTGCGAAAAATGTCAATGATATCAGACCACATGCTCCCCCCGGATGCTCTCGCTAATGAAATGAGAGATATATTTGAGCATCTCTATTCTCATGTAATCAGCACTCCCATGGAATCAATGCAAACTTTGAAAACATCTCTCCAGTTCAACCTCTACCCACACGTAGGGATTGCCACAAAAATTACAAATATCATCCCATAGACTAGAAAAATGGCTGACAACCGTCTAAACATTTCTTGATGACAGCAGCCTGAAGAACTGTGTGCAATAGGATCAACCATTTAAGGCATTGAGGGGCAGCTGTGGCTTTCACCATCCTCTGCAAAAATGGGGAAAGCAAGAGGATTTTAGAGGGACATGAGTACATAAAGATCGCACTCTATATTGTCCTAACTAGAGACTCATCTCACACTTGTTGCCTACCAGTACACCAAATGATACATGTTTTTTTTCTTCTTATAGATTTTTCTTTAAAATTATTTATCCGATTTATAATCCGATTACACCATTGTGTTCGTTGTATTTAAATATTTACAACAAGATCTTACAAGACTATATTTTGATAAAAGAAATATCTATATTGCAAATTACTTTTATTATATATGTAAGTAACTTTTATCATATATATAAATTACTTTTCTATTTGATTAAATTACTTATTATACATTTATAATGTTGTGAGTTGTTTATTTTATTATCATTTTTAGTCAATTCCATATTTTGTGCTGATTAAATTTAATTTCTAGATAGACTCATGTTTTTACCTCCATAACGAATCTACTTTTAATGTCATGATAAAGTTACTTTCTTTTTTTCTTAAGTTACTTCTATAGTATATGTAAATTACTTCTAAGCTTTACTGAAATTACTTTTATATATCTAAGAAGTAATTTAGTGAAATCTAAAAGTAATTTAGATATATTATAAAAGTAATTTGTATTTTTTCATCAAAATATAATCATGTGAGATCTTATTATAAAGATTTAATTCTTACAAACATAACCATGTAATCGGATCGTAGAACGGATGAGTAGTTTAAAAGAAAATTTTATTTGAAACATAGGTGATATGAATATATTTTCTACTTGATGAGGACTAGTACTAGCTAAGGTATCTAGATAGGGTCTCTCGTTAGCACTAAAACGAGAGGCCTCTTGATTTAGATTTTGCCATTTTAGAGGTCAGCGGTCTTTGTATTGAAATCAAAATCAAATGATCATAAATTTATAATCGAACTCACATGCCTATATGGAACTTAGTTATATATTGAAGATATATTAAAGGAGATGAATCTGCCAGCCACAACCCAAATGATATTTGCAAAAAAAAAAAAAGTCATTTCCGAATGATATGTCGGAAAAAAAATCATTTCCAAATTGATGTTATTCCACATGATATCTACCAAAATGAAATAGAGTGACGCTCTAGTACTTTCTACTTACAGTATTCTACTACAAGTAGAATTAATCTTGACCCTTTATTTTAAAAGGAAGATTAGTAATCTCTTAATACAGATTAGGGGTAATTTTAGCATGGGATATTTCTCTGTCTCGATCACTCATATCAGGTCCGATCGCGTTATCGCTACTCCCGGCAGGCGGCGGCGCTGCCAGCGTTGATTGAAGGGGAAAATCACTTCCTCTGCTTGCACTGTTGCACACATCGGGGGGTGTCCCTCGATGCGACGGAATCGGACGCGGTGACCGCGGCCGGCATGCCCTACCAGCGCCTCGCCGCGTGCGCGCACCCTGTACATGTCCGTCATCTCCAAGCTCCAGGAGAAGGACCACTCTTCCGCGGTGCACGATGCCTTGATTTGTGTGGCTCTCTGCATGGAATTTGGGGCTCTTTCTTTCACATTCTGCCTACTGAAATCTGTACCGGCCAGCCAACCAGCAATGGTTGATTTTTTTTTCTGGTGCTTTGTTGTACAGCCACAAACCCATGTTATTTTGGACAGATGTGCTAGCCAAGCTTCTGAAACTTTTTAGGAAATTGTATGAGTAGGTTTGGCTCGAAAAGCACTTGCTTTCCTGATAGCATTATAATTTAGGACACCAAAGTTGTGTTCAGTGAAATGGCATGAATAAGATTGGTGATTTCTTACAGTGACTTGGTACCTACTAACTGACTCTGAATATGATGCATTCAGAGCAACTGATCATCTTCCTCAGTTGAGATGCTGAACCCAACACAACCAAACTGAAGTACAGAACACTGCATCAGCTGAAAAAGCTACTTGTGATGAAGTGATGAACATGAAGTCTAAAAACACAGATCAGTTGAACAGGCCGGCCACCGACGATCGCATCAGCTACTGACTTCGGCGATGCTGTGCAGCGACGGGCGCCATTGACGATGCCTAGAATGTGTTGCCGACCCGCACTGTGCCCGTGCCGCGCCGCTCGGCCCGCGCCGGCGGTGGAGGCGGCGGCCGCTTCTCCTCGGCGACACGGAGGGTGACGAGCGCGACGTAGTGGCCCGGTTAGCGCAGGGAGAGGGTGAGTTAGACACTGATAAATTACAATAATACCCCTACGCAAATTATTATCCTTGGACGAATATACCCCTTTACATTTCTACTACTAACTCTGGTAGAAGTAGAACTAAATCTCAACCCTACAATTAAATATGATCAATGGCTCAGATTACTTTCTACTCCAAGTAGAAAGCACCGGAGCGGCACTCAATGAGAATGTGATATCATAAGGCATGTAAGTAAATTTCAAAATCAATGTCCTATGTGATCGGTATATGTCTCCAGTGCATCGCATCAGAGACAGAACAAACAGGTTTTAATTAATGACTAGTTAGGTGTGCCCGTGCGTTGCAATGGGAAAAATCACACCGGATGAAATCATGTTAAATAATCATTGAATGTAATTCCGTGGTAAGAAAACGTTAATAATGCAAATATTAATATGATATACATCCATGTCAATACATATTGCTTTTCATACTTTGTCGAGATAATGTTACACAAAACAACTACAATAAGTATTTGCATAGTGTCAGTGCAAATAACGTTATGCAAAGTCATAGACTACATCACAAGGGGATCCAAGCTAGCTACTCAGGTCTGCAAGAACCACCAGAAAGTTCAAACATCCACACTGACACGGGGGATCCTATTCAGCACATAGCTCATCCACACCACACACAATTACATACGTGAACAAAACAAAAGTGCACCAAGGACAAAAGCTGCGGTTTGCAATTCAGAACAGAACAAAACAATCTCACATAAGGTTCAACAAATATTACATGAAGGTTCAACAATTGTTGTTTCTTCAATAAAAGCATCATCGTTTGGGTGCTGTTTTCTGAAAGTATCCACAAAGTGATGCTAGGAGGGTCTGTTTCAAATGATTCTCTCTTCAATTGAGAAACCAGTACATTTGGTTTTTGCCTGAAAAATGCTTCAGAATGAGGACCTGTGTACTAATATAGGAAATCCTGAAACAACCTAAGCACTCTGTTCCCGAATGATTTAATAGTAATATATTAGAATATTTGGTGTTCACTTAATAACAGTATGTTAGCAATTTTAATATTCTATAATGGGTAACTGAAAAGGTAAGTTCAAGATTATGTTTTGATGCCAAGATTATCTACATCTCCCATTAAACATGGGTCCATGTACCTAACTGATTGGCAAAGCATGCAACAATCGCTATTGGAATATTTACAAGCAATACACAAATATACACACTTATCTAAACTTCTCATTAGTTGTTACTGCTGCAAGTATGGAACCAAGAAGTTCAAACTGATTTATTTTTCATAATACAAAAGAAATACCAAAGGAAAATATGTCATGATGAGGTAATTGCATCTCATTTATAACTTTTCACCCCCATGCATCCTGAGGTTATCCAGGGTCTTATTACTATTTAACATATAACAACTAACCGATAATTATAATTTGACCATGCACACTTATGCCGGAAAAAAATAGAACACTAACATGCAGAAAATTTACGAGGCAATTCCACAAATACCTTGTGAGTAACCGAGCATTCTGCAGTATGCTGATCTTCCTCGAAATAATTTCGTTCACTCTTGCCGAATGGGTTGACCACACTGTCTCTTCATCATCACAAGCCCTAGAAGATCAAATTTTCTGTTTTGGCAAATTCAACTGATAAATACCTTACTCGTCTAGTCGGTAGTCCAAAAAAAAAATCATGTTCCGTCATGGAAACCTATGTAAAACTATGGATTATTGACTCCACTTAAGAATTACCAATACATACTTATGCAAGTACCTTGAAAAGAGATATACAAAACACCTTGAGGAAAAGGATACATAGGAAATTTCCTATAGAAGTAGAATAACACACAGTTTTGAATAGAAAAAAATATAAGAATATGATGTCTTAAATTCTGAAAAGGAGGTGGGGAAATTTAGTAGTAAAACACAGTACTGGTTCATGGTTTATCTGCATGGTGGAGTAGAAAGTAACTATAGTGCACTACTCCTGGTTCTGATTAAGTCTGATATGCTGCAGTAGGAGACTTTCACTCCTGGTAATAACCGTCCTCCCCATGTATTTTAGAACATTGTGCCCATGCACACCTATTTGCTCTAAGATTCATCAGGATAAAATGAAGATCACCTTAGCTTGATCCTGATGTACGCAAGGGCCAGGTGCTTCTCCATAGCGGAACAAATGAATTATTATTGCTGAAACGAATAACAGTGAAAATTAGCCAAAGAAAATGATTATCTGCCATTCTGGAATATCAAGAGGTTCCACAAAAGCATTCACTAGTCAATGTCAGCCACCACGTTAGATCAAGCAGAGTTCGGGCACAGGATTAGTTCTCTGCGCTAGCATCCTGCATCCAAAAGTTCATATTCTAAATTCCTTGTGTACTGGTGTTTTGATTAAATTCTGAAGTAAATGCCATCTGAATCCCAAGATAAGAAATAACTTCAGAATCAAAATCAGAAGTTCTTTATATAAAGTTGAGTACTCAAATCGTTATGTAAAATCGAGTAATTAAACATATCCCATGCACATATCATTGTGATAACCTATGCGGCGTGCAAGAGCTCAGTTCGTATGTCCTACACCATAAGAAAATATGCCACTTCAGTCTTTCACCAGGGAAACACCAGTGAGTGGACGACTATGAGCAGATGGACAACGAATGGACCCAAAGCAGAATAGTTGAATAAATTGGCTAGACTATAGTACACAGCAGAACAATTGAATAAATTGGGCAGATAACTGAATAAATTGGCTAGAGTACCAAATGTGAAACATAAATGCCTTTTTCTTTTTTGTAAGTGACAAAACCAAATTGGGGAAACACAATGCTATTGTGATTCAATTAAACTGATTACTCCAAATAAATTACAAGAACAACATCTATGTAGCTTATTAATTTGCTTAGGATTACAAATGACAAGGGATTGACCTGTGATTCAGATTAATTTTATTTATCCATAGCAGGGGCAGATCCAACTTGGACTTTGGGGGGGGGGGGGGGGGGTGGGGGTGTGGCGGCGGCGAGGGAAACAATTAAACTAACCTAAGAGAAGAGCATCATCCAGATCTCTAAGAGAAGCTATGGTTAACGCAATAAAATTCCAGCCAAAAATGGGTGGGACATAGAGAGATGAATGATGTGGATGCTCACCAGGGATGCAGTAGGACGACGGCGCCCCTCCCATCCCTGCTCTGCTTGCTAGATGGGAATCGGAGCGGAGTAGTAGGCACCGGCGGGGTTGGCGTTCTTGGCGGGGAGGGGGAGGCCTAGGAGTCCAGCCCGCGGGTGGATATGGAGGTGACTCAGCGGCGGGGGCGTTTGGCGGGGTTTGCGGGTGGGCGGAGGATTCGGTGTTGGTGGCGGGTTTGGACGGAGTAGGCGTTTGTGGCGGGTGATGGGGAAGGACAACGATTCGGCGGGTGGGCGGCGGTGGACAGTACGCGCCGACCGGCGTTTGGGGCAGGTGGAGGAGAGGGTACTTACAGACGCCGACGTTCGCGGTGAAAGGGGCCTTCGTTGACGGTGGCCCCTGCGGATTCGATCGTAGGGGCGGGAAGAGTGGAGATTGTGCAATTTGAAGGATGGCACGGCGGGTGATGGGGAGGAGAAGGACGATCAGGCGGTGGGGAGGAGGTTGGCCGCAGCGGAGATGTTCTAGGGCGGCGCCGGGGCGGCGAGGAGGCGTCGTGTGGTCGAGGGCGGCGAGGAGGCAGCGGCGGTCGAGGGCGGCGTGGGAGTCGGCGGTCGAGGGTGTTCGAGGGCGGCGAGGAGGCGGCGGCAGTCGAGGGTGCGCGGGGCGACGGCGGTCGAGGGCGGCGAGGAGGCGGCGCGGTTGAGGGACGCGAGACGCGCGGTGCGGGGCATGGGTCGCGGGGCGCGTGGCTTTTTTCGTTGCGGACAAGCATGTACCTTTTTTATTTTTGTCACTCCAAACATGTCGATGTTACGTTTCTAGGTTGGATTGGATCGCATGTCTGCTTTGATTTCACCGTCACTAATCCGAATTTATTAAGTAGTAGAGATGACATACATATGTGTAAGACACGTCCTTGCTTAAATAAAAATTTGGTGAATAATAAAAAAATGAAAAAAAAAGTAGAAAATTTGATTTCAAAGAATAAAAGAAATGTCTCTCGAGTAAAAGAAAAAAAGAAAAAAAATTGTCTCTCGAGTAAAAAGAAAAAATGACAAAACAAAATTATGGCAAATTAATGTGATCCATGCTTATTAAGTTTTTAATCCAAATCCTTTTTAGCATGGATGTGAACAAATAATATTGAGGCTATGATAAAATCTTTTTAATCCACTAACCTTTTACAGGAAATAAAAAGACAACTACGGAGCAGTGGACAATAACTCCAACATTCATACCACGCTCCTTGGTCTAGGAGAAGACAGATGCTCAAGGAACCAAGCAGAACAAATGCAAATTCATACCACGCTTCTTGGTCTAGGAGAAGACAAATGCTCAGGGAACCAAGCAGAATAAATGCAAAGTTGTATTGCATTCTTGTATTTGAATCAAAGCTTGGTAAGACCTATCTTGTAAGAATTCAAAACACCTTGTGCATCCTCGCCTCACATATGTCCACCCTGCTAAGGTACCCACCACCTCTATTGCTGCCATAAAAAACAAAAATAAAACTATAAAAATATAAAAATAATATAAAAATAAAAACAAAATAAAAGTGAAATAAAATAAAAGTACATTTAGACACTTTATGCGTATAGAGTTACTTGAATAAAATTTGGCTCATCGGTAATTTATCCCGGTAGAAGCCCATTTTGCTTTCCATCTTTTTTTAAATAAAGACAAGGTACAAAACAAGTGTGGGTGAGTCTTTCCAGAACTCCTGATGCGCAACAGCATCAACTCAACATGACAATGTGATGAACACTAGCCCACGGCCGCGCACAAAATTCAGCAAACAGAACCAAGTCCTAGCTAGGTTGGCCAAACCAAGTGTTCGCCCTACCCTTACCCGGCCGGGGTCTGTAACCCTTCTGCCGTGTGGTCAGGTTTGCACGTCTCCTCCCTTATCCTCCCTTGTTTGTGAGTTAAACTTGGAAGAAAATTTGAATACAATTTAGTTTGACTCCAAATGAAAATTGAAAACATTAACTCTCGACAAATAAAGATCTCCTATGATTAATCATGTATACTTTTTATTCTTTGCTGACACTTGTCACTTGTGAACAACTATCTATATAGGGAACCTTGCTCATCTAAGTAATTAATATTTATGATATGGTTATGATGAAAGAAATTCCTGTCCAACTGTCATGATACTTGGGATTTTATTATGTGAAAAATAAAAAAAAATATATTTTAGAGCAATACTCCTTGGTGACTATATTATTACCTACCAAGGCCATATATGATTCTCATTGCAAAATCCTGATTTATATTTTTAGGCTGCTTGACATTACATTGAGCTTTGTCAAATTATTGTGACTCGTGTGAGATGCTTTTCATACTTTAAGGTCGCACGCACACTCCACACATACACACGTATGCTAAATTCTACACTGGAAGCTAGCATTCCTTGTCCATCATTTATTTTATCCATTATCCACAAAATAAATACTTCATGTCATTTATTTCTCATCCTCCAAAATTCTTTCAAAGAAAAAAAAGAGAGAGAGGCATGGCCATGCAAAAGAAAGAAAAATTAAATTTTGCTCATAGAAAAATGGAGCATTGAAAAAACAAAGAGAAAATCTTGCTCATACAAAGTATGGGGCATGAAAAAAAAAGAAAAAAAAAGAAGGAGAAAAGATATAGCCATGCACTCTCTCAAATTTCCAATGAGAGAAAATTGGAGGAGGAGGTATGTCAAAGGAGTTGTTATCTTTCATTTTTTCTTTTCCCACCCACAAAACAACCATACACATACCCATAGACATATCACACACATGCACATTCTTGATCAAAGAGTATGACTTGCGATCTCCTTGGGTCCAGTCTTTTGGCTTTGCAAAATATGTGATGTAGGTATGCACCGATTGATCCCTACCGAGCTCCACATATACAACCTTGTAGAATAGGGACAATTCGGCAAACTATGCCTTGGTGAGGATCCACAAATCAAACCACATGAGTAACTCGAGAGAAAGTCATTCGAGGAGTATAGCTACTTTGAGAAAATATATAAAAACCCAATATATTGACAAGAGGAACAAGGACTTGAGTTATGACCGTTCCATTCATCAATTACCCAAGACGGTAAGTTAGACACTGCAAAGTTCACAGGTACAGGTATAGCTTAGAATAATTTGTGTACTTGAGTTATATCTAGGAAAAGTTTATTCCACATTAATCCTTAACCTTTAGCTAAGTGTGGGGGTATGTTGACGGCTGTTAAGTACCAAATTAACGCCGTCAATACCTGCATAAAACCATAAATACAAAACATCGAACAAAGTGGTAGGGTTTATTTCTAACAATTTCCGCGAGTGTTGGTGTATATTCATATGCAGGTGATAAACTACCTAAATTGAGAAAAATATACATGAAGGAGGATGAGAATCAAACTCGTATCCGAACTTATGGAGTTTTGGACCCAAAAACCCAATTAAACACCTCCAAATGGGCCAAACATTCATACCAATGGATTGAGGGGCCAAAAACCGGAGCGAATGGAGCCACCCCGGGTTCGGCCGAACACTAAGTTCAGCCGAACCCTCATGGAGGCCGCTGGCCCAAACCCAAGTTGCGTTCCGTCGATAACACTTTCCTGATGACGGTTATGATTATTTCCGGCGCTCCAACTGTCATCCAAATGGACGCTTGGCATGAGGAGAGGGAAGATGCTCATAGGATTCCATGGAGGATCTCCACACTCCCAAGCAAGCTCCACCTATAAATACCCCTCCTCATCCTTTATTCCAACACACACCAATATGTAGAGGTGAATTACAAGAGGCTCTTAGTATACTTTAGGTTCTTTATATGTTCTATAGTATAATTCGAATGGGAAGAGAGTGAAGTAGAAGAAGTCGGAGGAATTCCGAAGTTGTCGGTAATCCTCTCCTTATTCTTATACTTTGGTAATTACTCTGCTTCAATAGAAAAATCATTCTGAGTAATTAAGATTTGCAAATCATTCTGAGTAATTAAGATTTGCTTAGTGAGAATTATTCTTGGTTAGTTCCTAATTAGCATACGGGATCCAGTTGTTCACTAGTAGTCACTTAATTATATAGTGATTGCTTTAGTGTTTAGCTAGCACTAGAGTAGTTATTAAATGCGTAAACGTGATGTCTAGGTAATTAATTTCCAGTGGTTGCTGCGTATCCCATAGTACATTTGATGTGGGTGTAGATGTTGTGACAGCCCTCAAGAGCACTTAAGTCCTCCCTGTCTGGGTACGTAGTAGAGCGACATCTGGGAACAGCGGGTTGCTATTGCTTGAGTACCGCGTTAGGATTAAAATTAAGCTTTCCTTAGACATTGTTTCTCACTAGGAAATCCTCTCTACCCTTTGCCCATATTTATCTTGTGTCCTTAGATGAACTGGAGGAAGATATAATCACACATGTTCCCTTGGATTCGATGCCCTTGGAATACTCCGTAGGGGAAGTGCTACATCGGTATATCCGTGCGCTTGCGAATTCTATCTGTGATTGTAAGAAATACCAACATTGTTCCTGTTAAATAAATCATGCTTGTTTATGGTTTACATAATGCCTGATATTTAATTTGCTCCTTATATCCTGATAATACTACAAGATTCATGCAGTTTTTTGAGTACGCACTCGATTTTATCTACTATATATCTTGTCTTCTACAAAATATTTTTCAGGAACAATCAAGCACTCGAGTAGGTTGTGGTCGAGTACACCCTTTTATCGAGAACGTTCTCGGTAAAGGCTGAGTTGTCGCTCTCAACCTACCAACGGAGACCGACGACCTATCTCATGTATAGCGCGCGTCGGCCATGGCTGGACTATTTGAAAATTGGTGGTTAACGGATAATTCCTCGCGAACGTTGTCGGCTTGATCACCCGGCATGATTGTGAACAGATATCCGAATATGCTATAAGTTGGGTATGTGAGTCATGCTGGGCACATGAGATGCACATGTAATAACCAACTCTAGCGCCCCTATAGGTGATTGAGAGATGCTTGCTCCTGGTTAATGACTAGACTGTTGTAGCGACGTCTCGCTGCCGATCAGTTTAAATTCACTTGTGGACCGTTGAACTCCATCCAGCGTTGTCGAGGACTCTATGTCTCTACGGTCTTACACCGGGATCGACCAAGTGAGTACGA